TATTCAGGTGCAGTTTTCCTAAGTGGGAGGGTAGGCCTAATGAAGTTTACTCTAATGGCCATACATCTTTTCTTCCTATACTTCATCTTTATTAACTTTTAAAAAATGTAACCCTAAAATCAGATTGCATTCTTTGGTTGTACCACTCAGGAAATAAACTGTAAACGCATCATTTGATCTGTGGCTTATCCTAGAGTTTTTCCACAAGTAAGATTACGTATAAATTATTTCTACAAGCTGTGTTAAAGAGGATGCGTTCTTATTAAATTACAGAGCTTCCAGGATGAGACTCTAGATAGGACGTATGTGTAGACACATTTTGAGCCTTTCAAAGCACCTGTTAGTTAATGTGAAGTTCTTCAGACGGCCCACTGTCCTTGAAGCTTCTAACACCAAGGTGTCTTTGCAGCCCAGAGCCAGGTTACTGCTACCCAGGACAGCACTAATTTGCGATGTATTTTCTGTGGTAAGCAACATTATGTTTACATTACTTTTTCAAGCTGTGGTACATACTACTTGCACATTTCCATACCTTTTGTTTCCTTAGGCCATAGTCTGGTCTGTGGTATCTGGGATGTAGAGCAAGCTGCTCTTTTTATGTTGTGATATCTGTTGTGGTTCATGTAGGCGATTTGGTCAGCCTTTGAGTTGATTTAATGAGAATTTAGTTAGAATTAGGATCTTAAGACTGTTTTTTGTCTACTTCTTCTAATAGAAATGAGACATAATTTTGTTCAATTTTGCTTTTAACTGTTTTGTTGGGAGCAAATTTTAAATTTAGAATTTAAGGACAAAATTTATATGCATTTTATATATCACATGAGGAATGTGTGTATACCTTATTTGAAAGGAGCTTTTGCTTAACTTGAATTAGTTTTAGCTATGCATCTTGTAAGAGAAAGATGTAAACTTATTGCTTGCTTTAATAGGTTGATGTCTGATTTGACGGGCTCCTTTATTTTAGTAGGCTAGATATCTGTTGCTTAGGAGTAAGTTTAGACTTTTAGAGTGCTTTCCTTTACTCACTGTCATATACGTATGCACACATGTAGGTACTGTCTGCAGGGACACACTAGGCTTGTCACTTAGCCACTCAGATTAGAGCTGAGATACATATTCTTATCCTTACAGACGGAGGTCCTTCCATGTATTCCATCCATGAATTCGCCTAAATTTCTTTTATCCCCCTTTGGTTCTAAAACTTCCTGTTTTAAAAATTTGAGTTCAAAAGCCGGGCATGGTGGCACATGCCTGTAATCCCAGCACTCAGGAGGCTGAGGCAGGAGGATCACTGTGAGTTCGAGACCAGCCTGGGATACATAGTGATGTTCCAGGTCAGTCTCAACTACATAGTAAGACCTTGTCTCAAAAAACAAAAAACACTTGAGTTCTAAAAAGTCAATTATTTTACCTTTCTAAAAAAATGTATATGTATACATTTTGATTCATGCATACCTTGACTGGCCATATTATCTTCTGAAAGAGAGAAAGATATAAATGATGTACTGCAAAAGTGATTAACGGTTCTGCTGTGTATGGTGCCACATGATTCCAAGTGTTTAATGTGGCTTTATACCAGTAATACAGTATTATTGATAGTTTATTTAATTTTCAAATTTACTGGCTTAAGCAAAAACAAAACATATTCTAAACTTTGAAAAAGCAAAGAAAATCCTAATATATTTCTTTAACCCCCTAAGATGATTTGATTTGCCATAGGTGACACAGTTACAGCAGTGAGCCAGTTATTTGGCTTTTTATACATTTTCCTTCCCTCCTAGATTCCACAATTAAACATTCCAGGTTAAGTATCTACCCAGTAGACTTATTTCTGAAGTTTCTGCCTACTAGGCCATCTTTTGAAGTAGACACAAATGATTATTGATATTTGTGTTATTTTTTTTTAAAGATGCTATAACTTTGTCCTTAAAAATTTGAGGTCCACATGTAGAATAATAACTGCAGGGAAAAGATTGATTTGCCCCAATAAGATATTTTTCAAGTTTATGAAATAAAAGGTTTAAAAAGCAGATTTTTTTCTTTACTCATTGTTACCTTTAACTGTATACAATTAACCACTTTGCTAAATAATTCGATTGTATTGTGTATAATAACACCTATTTGTCTTTTAGTCCTGTTTTAAAATAGTCTGTCATTAAGTGGGAAACTAGATTTGTGAAAATTTAAATGTAGGCGTAAGTGAAATGTTCTTTAGCCCAAAGAACTCTTCAGTATTGAAGACAAGACTGAAATAGCTACTCTTGGTTTAGAGAGAAGTTTTAATCAGATTTCCATTACTTATAGCACACTGTATCAGTTACATTGCCACATTTTTTTAAATTAGAAACAAAAATTCACAGACTTTCCTATGTATCTTGCTTTAGCCAGGACAAATTAAGAGCAACCTTTGTCTTTGGCTTTAACATGGACAGAGTGACTCTCACACAGCAGCCATGTAGTGGAACAGTGCAGTGTCACTGATTTAACCACCACACCATGCTCATAAAAGATTGTCATTTACCTACTGAGATGGTTATGAAATTAGCCATTTGCATGTTATGAGCACAGATACCCATGTATCTGTAACAATTACAAAGCTGAAAGTGCATTGGCAGCTGACAGCCTTGCCCAATCTTAGCTGCTGCTTGGTATTTCTTACCAATTTTATAACTTGTTAGAATGTTTGACAAGAGGGAAAAAGGTAATTGTGTACCTGTAGTTCATAATTTACCTGGATCTTTTATTTAATACAGTACATCTTTATTCATTTTTAGTTGCACATAAATTTCCCTGTGCTAATTTTTGCAACTTGACATAATTGATGAAGAAGAAACAAATGAAACAGTCAGATTCAATATAGATGTGAGAAAATGCCAAGGGGAGAGAGTCCTTTCCTCTTCTCCATTTATAGAATGAAAAGACAAATGACCTGTTACCGCAATGAACCAAGTAGCAAAGAATTTTAAGAGTTGTTCTTGGACCAGGAGCCTCCCCATTTTAAGAAGTTCTTCCCTGAGGTTTTTCTTTCCATCTCATATGCAGGGATAAACTATAGTAAATAAGTTTTATAATTAATTATATGAGCCACAAAACATTACCCATATTTTTAAAATCTTTATAAACAAGCATACTGAGCAAATTTTTAGCAAGCTTAAGAACATTCAGAACATGCTCTATAAATTACTGAGTTTTTTCATTTGTTTTGGTGCATTACATCAGATTTGTTAGTTTTTTAAAAAATCTTTATTAAAATCAATAGAAATGAGTTGAAATTTTGACCCTTTTTTCTTGAATTTATATATTTGAGTTAAAACTTAGATTTCATTTAGTGAATTTAATCCACTAAGATTACTATTGAGATGGAATGCATTTCTAGATGTGAACAAAACAATTACAAGTGCCAAACAAGTCTAACCCGCTGACATTCAGCTTTATCATTATTTTTTTTTAATTTAAATTGAATTTATTGGTACATTCTAGGTAGACAGTACAGTTACATTCATTACTGGGATCTTGTAGCTTTATCATTATTTATACTGAGGTTTTCACTTAAATTCTCAAATACATTGTTTTTAAAAAATAGTTATATCATAATGATTTTGTAGATTGGCCATGCCAGATGTTTGCACTGTAATAATTTTAGGTGATTATAACTTTGGATGTACTTTTTTTTTTTTCTTCCCCCTGTACCGGGGATTGAACTCGGGTACTTGCACTTCCAAGGCAGGCCACTGAACCCCTGAGCTAAATCCCTGGCCCATGGATGTATTTTGTAAAGCACATTGTCCCAAAACTTTATACGTTCTCAAGTTATCCTCCCACATTCTATGTCCTTGTGCTTCTGCTAGAAAGTGGTATCTTTTTGTATAAAATACTAAATATTAGGTTATGGCCCAATGTGACAGTCTTTTTTTTTTTTTGAACATCATTATGTTAGTTTACCCTGGAAAGTATTTTAGTATGTTTACTAGACAATAGTTATATATATTTTTATTTATACAAACATTTATGTGTTTTATTTAATTTTGATATAAAGAATTTTGGGGGTTTTTGTTAGTGATTAAATGAGGTTAATTTTTTTTATATTTTATATTGGTTCTCAGAATCCTGGGAAATTAATGAAATATGTCACTGTAATTTGTCATTAAGGACAGATTAAATAATTAATCTAAAAATATTATAAAGAGGTGAGGAAAAAGTTGGTAAGTTTAGATAGAAGTATTTTTGTTTATTTACCCCTGGGGTACATCAGAAGTGTTTTACATCCTGGTGAGTGTTTGCTTTTTATAGTGAAGCCTACTCCACTAGTATAAAATAGATTGTTTATGCTCTTAGCCCATAAATTACAATAATTTGCTTTAAACACTGAAGCATTTATTTATTACTTTTTAATATTAGTGATCTACAAAAGTCTTTCAGAATTTCTGCTTAGTACATTTAGTGGCACACTAGAATTCAGAAAAATATATAATAAGTCATTTCTCATTTATTCCTCCCCAATAGTAGGAAATAACTACTTCTTTACTCTCTCATTTACTGGATTAGATTTCAAAACTGTTTGAGTGTATCCTTAAGCATTGTATAATAGGTTCAGCATTTTTATCTCATTAAATTTTAATATCCAGTGACATTAGGATGTCCTATAATTTAGTGGAATTCTAAGATGCTAAAAATGGGTCTGCATTGTGCATGGTATGTGGGAATGAATGGTCATTAACTCTCACGACAGAACCATGTTGGTATGAACGCAGGTGGTTTTTGTTTTCTTCCCCTTACACCAAATGAAAAATTAAGATTGTCTTTGTTACATTAAAAAATCAGATAAGCAAGTTAATTTATTATATAGAAATGTAGCAAATGTTTGTTTTCACCATACTGGAAATGCTAGGCCATTAAGCAAAAATGGCAGCTTAATTTGGGAAAATTTGATAAATGCATTAGCGTACTTCATTCTAGTAATAAGGTTCTCATGCTCTCTCTCTCCTGTTTTTCATTTCCAGTGTTCTATTTAGGTGAGTTTTTGAATTCTGATTTTTCATTTAAGTTCTTCTCCACCTCATGAACAGTTGCCCCAAAGAGAATGTCTCATTGTCTTAGAAAATGTCAAGTTTAGGTGCCTATTCAGGTGCTTATTGAATACTTGTTTTACTCAAGCTCTTCATAAATAAATGTTTATTTTTTCCTTATTGTTGATGTTTTCCATTTGTTTCAAATAAGCCTTCTTGGAGATGATGACAGCATTATGTTGCAGTCTTTCATTTGCTCTGTGTTATGTAAAGCTTATATTTTATTTTGCTAGACAAAGAGAAGATACATTTGTAAATATGTGATGGTTTTATGTTACTGTCATGATTTTTATCTCCTTTATTAAGCTGTATAAGAAGGTAATATTCACCTGCAATGTTTTCCTTTTGTAGGTCCAACATTGCCTAGACAAAATTCACAACTACCTGCTCAAGTTCAAAATGGCCCATCCCAGGAAGACTTGGAAATTCAGAGAAGGTAAGTTCTCAATCTTTGTATTGTAGAAGACCAAAACTCTGAACATACTAATACTGAGAATAGCTATTTGAAAGTCACAACTTTTATATTAGTAAGCTTTGGAACCATCATTATTAAGTGAATAGATACATATTATACTGGACACAGACATAAAATTTCATACCTGCTTTTTTGTAAAAAACATACTCATAGTACATTTTACATATTTTAAGTACACTTAATAGCATACAAAATATCTTCAATAAGTCTTGTTTGTATAAAAGTTATAATCTGTGACAAGTATAGATTTCACATGACCAGTTTAACTAGAAAGTTGAAAAATTGTTAGCTGATTCTATAATGCATTGATCTTGAGATACTATGATGGCTGTCAGTAGAATACAAAACTATCCTGTTTATAACTAAATGCTGGTGGAACAGGGTTGGCAACATCATCTTCATCATTTCAGTATAGCTTGGAAATACTCTTGAAATTATAATGCAGCCTCATTTAAAGAGAGATTTTTGTGAGTTAAGAGTCTGGATTGTAAAGCTACATTGTAACAAGTTTATTTTATAAAATTCAGGTATGTTCAGTAACTAAAATTGAGCTAGCCAAGCCACACGACCCATTTTCAAATAATTTTAGAGATATCGATGTTGCTTTTATCACTATCAGGTCACCCCTGTTTGGAGGGTTGATCACTATTGTTAGATGGACCATTCTTGTATGAGATTTTCCATGAGGCGCATTTGTTCTACAGCATACTGGCATTTCTTATTGTGACCTTTGGTTGATAATTCACATTTCAAAAGACTTTTCATTTTCTCTATGTTGTTTTAATGTTTGTGCCCTGTCCCCCTCATTGGCTGAGAAATCTAGAGTATAACTACTTAGCTCTTGAACTTTCCCTAAGATTTCCCAGAATGAATTTTGTTTTTGCCATAGAGCCTCCATATATTGGTATACTCAGTCATGTCACTCCAGAAAAAGCTTCCAAACTTGGAGAAAATCTATCCAGTTATTTTAAGTGATGCTGTAACAGTTATAAGTAAATTTTTTTCTATAGCATTAAGTTTAAAGGATATAATAATTTCAATTCTGAGAATTTTTTAAATACCAGAATAATTAATTCCAAGAGTGAGGAATACAGTGAAATAGAGAAATAGTGAATAACAAATGGCCATATTAGTGTTGATAATAACACATGTGTAAATAATAAGGAAGATTCAGGAATGAACCCAAGATATAATAGAAGAATCTCTGGTTACCTTGTGGCCAAACAAGTACCCACTGCAATCTTGCCAGAGGCCAGGGCAACAAGGGTAGGAGCAGGAGCCACCCCAGGGTGTGCCTTGCACAGGGCCCAAACTCGGGACCTTGCACTTCAAGGCAGGTGGCCTCACCACTGAGGCCCATTTCTTCCTCTTTTTTTTTTTTTTTTTTTTTTTTTTTTTTTTGGGGGTTTACATTTTTTTTTTTTTTTTTTTTTGGTACTGGGGATTGAACTCAGGTCCTTGCACTTGCGAGGCAGGCCACCGAACTGCTGAGCTAAATCCCCAGCCCCCTATTTCTTCTTGATACCCATTTTCACTCCTCTCTCTACTCTGGTATTCCCGTCTCTTCTCAGTGCTGAATCTTCTCCCTTTCTGTCCCTTCCAGGACTGATTATTTTTCCTATATAAGTCTTTGGTTTTTCTTTCTGCACACAGTATGTCCTTTGCAAAATTGAGGTTTGAGTTGGTATATTAGTCCATCTTTCACTACTGCAACAGAATTCCTGAAGAAGGTTAAGCAGCTCACAACTTTGGAGGTTCAAGGCCTGGCACTGGCATCGACTCAGCTCTCAGTGGGTGCTTTTAGCTGGGGTCTACCATCCATTCCCAGGGCACACATCTGACCTCCCATTAGGCCCATCTCTCAAAGGTTCATACTTTCTCCCAGCCCTACCACTCTGGGGCCCACACCTCCATCACGAACCCTAAGAGGGACACAGACTCTCTCCAACCATAGCAGTTGGGTGTTGTAGTTCCTTGTAAGCACTTCTGTCTCTGCTTTCGCCTTCCAAACCTACAGCCCAACTTTGAGCCTTCACTTGCCATCTAGGTTCACAGATCTAAGTAAAGGACATCATATACCTTCTCCCCTCTGAGAATGTGGGGAAAGCAGTGGCCCTCCTTGCTACCCACCTGGCCCCCAGCCCTTTAAATAGTCATACCATCACGTACCACATTAAAATGCTGTGTCAGTGTCACAGAACCCTAAATTCTATTAATGAGAATCCCTATTGTAGAGAGCTCATCTATCTATCTGTATATCCTATTAAATCTCATAAACTCTTTAAGATTTCATCTTTACTATAAATTCGGTCAAACACACACGCACACCCACCCTGTACAGGAGATTGAATCTTTTTTTTTAATTTTGAGACAAGATCTCGTCAAAAGCTGTCCAGGCTAAGTCCTGAACTTGGAGTCCTCCTCCCTCAGCCTTCTGAGTGGTTGGGATTACAGATGTGAACCACGATAGGGTTCCTACTTCTCTTTATATTTCATCCAGAATTTTAGTGTAGAAGCACATTATTCACTATATTTATTCAGTCATACCTGTCTTTTTCTGTAAAAGCCTTACAGGTTTAGTCTTCTAACATTCTTATTACCGATAGTTTCCCTCATATTTATTTTGTTATGTACTAAAATTTTAGTTGATTGTTTTCTCTTGAATTTAGATTTTTTTCAGTTCTTCCTATTTTTTTTTCATTAAATTTATTGGTACTTTTTAGGTATACAGTGCAGTTGCATTTATCAGTGGGATCTTAAACCTTTACAAGATGTATCTTGCTTCTTACTTTTTCCCCACACCCCTACCCTCCCTTAACTCCTCCACCCTTCCCTATCTACAGAGACTTTGTTTCCATTTTTTCCTTTTCTCATATTTTTTCTTTTCCCTTCTCTCCTTTCCACATCCCTTCCCACTTCCCATATTCCTTTAGCCCCTTTCTTCATATTTCACATTATCAGTTATACCATTTGAACTTTATTTACACTTTTAGTTTTTCACACCAGAGAAACTATTTGGTATTTACACATGTGTGTCCTATTTATTTCACTTAAGAATATGGCCTCAGTATGCATCCATTCAGCTATAAATGACTCCAGTTTCTCATTCTTTAGGGCTGAGTAGTATTCCATTTTATAGAAAAACCACATCTTTATCCATTCTCCAGTTGATGGGCATTTGGGCTGTTTCCAAGTTGGAACTATTACAAACTGTGCCACTATAAATATGAGTGTGCATATATCACTGTGGTATGATTCTTTTAATTCTTTTGGAAGGATACCCAGCAGAGGGATAGCTGAGTCAAATGGGACTTCTAATCCTAGTTTTTTGAGGTATCTCCATATCATTTTCCACAGTGGTTGCAGCAGTCTGCACTCCCACCAACAATGGAGAAGGGTTTCTTTCTCCCCACAACCCACCAGCATTTGTTGTTATTGGGTGATTTCTCTTTTGTTGTTGTTGTTTTTGTCTTTTATTTTTGGACCAGGGATTGAACTCAGGGACCTTGTACTTGTGAGGCAGGCAGCGGCACCACTGAGCTAAATCCCTGGCCCTGGTTGATTTCTTGATAGCAGCCGGTCTTTCTGGAATCTCAGTGTTGTTTTCATTTGCATCTCTTCAATGACCAGTGATATTGAACATTGGTTCTTCCTGTTATTTAATGCCAGATTAATTTTTCTTAAACTCTTTTGCACATATATATTCTTTTTATTTTATTTTCTTACTGGTCAAATGCTGGATCCTCTGGGTTATTTCCTTATGGCAGTTTTAATGCCAGTTTAATTTTTCTTAAACACTTCTGCTCATATATGTTCTTTTTATTGGTTTTTCTTGTCAAATTCTGGATCCTCTGGGTCATTTACTTATGGCAGTTTTATCATTTTCTACCTCATTTTGTTTTATATTCTTAGCAGTTTTCTTAGTCTTATATTCTAAGCCCAGCAGTATTCAGTAGGGTCATATAAATACAATTAAGTTTTTCAAGTGGCCATATTAGTAAAATTTTAAAAAGATAACAAGTGCAGCCGGGCATTGGTGGAACACGCCTGTAATCCCAGCACTCGGAAGTCTGAGGCAGGAGGATCACTGTGAGTTCAAGACCAGCCTGGGCTACGTAGTGAGTTCCAGGTCAGTCTCCACTACATAGTGAGACCCTGTCTCAAAAAAATAAAAAATAAAATAAAAAAGATACAAGTGAAATCCACTGTAACAAAAATACTGCTCTTTGAATGTGAAGTAACTGAAATCACTAAGATGTTATATATTTTAGTTTTTATACTCAGTCAAAATTAATGTGTATTTTAAACTTAAAGCACATTTCTGCCCGGACTAACCATGTCTTGGGACAAAGCTTGTTGCAGGAGACCTTTCATTGAGAGTTTTAATTTTAATCTCCAAGATCGTTTCCTGTTTTGTATTTGTTCCTTGTTCTTAGAAGCCTGCAGTAAATTCATGGCAGAACTTTCAGTCTCTTGTTCCTCTTCCCCTGCTTGACTCATCTCCCTCCTAAAGCAGCATAGTACTCACACGTCTTACTGGTTTCACACACCTGCTTGGTGATCCTCAGTGGTCCATGGTATGTGGCTCTGCTGTGCAGTGTTTCTCTCTCTGTAGGTCCAAGGAGGGAGATGGGTGAGCTCTCCTGGGGAACCCCACAGGTACCCCTAAAGCCACACACTTCCCTTTCTGTAGTGAGCAGACTTCTTTGGGGACAGTGTTCCATTCACTGGGCAAGAGTGTGAGGGGAGCTTGGTAACTAGCTGTCCTGCAGACTGAGGAGTTTGCGACTCAGCTTGATTCCTGCCCTCCCTCCCTGCCCTTTTCTTGTTTCAGGGCGTCTCCCAGGCTCCTTCTCCCATGTGCACTTAAAACTGCATTCCTTGACCATGGTGCTCCACAGCTTAGTCCAGTGACATAGAGGCACTGCTCGTGCTAAATGCTTAGGTCATGTGGACAGGTG